CATCCATTCATCCATCTATCCATCCATTAGGTCTTCATACTTCATAAATAAATAAAAAATATTTCAAAAAAGGTAATTCTATTGGAAGTAAGTAAATTACGCGGTGCCAGGTGAACGGATATTAGTCTCTCATTCTACAGTATCAACATTAAAATCTTAGCTATTTGTCAACCCTTAAAGCTCAAAGTGTTAAGATGTTATTATAAAACAGACATGCGGACTTATTAAAATAGACTTTTGATGTTCTCCATTCAAACAAAAGTAAAGTAAAGACTGCACCACTTTGACAATATAAACACTTTGAAATTCGAGACATTGATATGGATATGACTCAAGCAAACAAAGAATCTCATTCTCAAGAGAATGACGCGCGGTCTGAAATGGGGAAATATTATGCTTGATAGGGTTAATAGCGTCCGAAACGTCAGTTAGTCTTTTCATCTTTTCGCGGTATATAATCTACCCTTTGATCATTACTGTTTCATTAGAAACACCGACGCAGCTCACACTAGTTTTTAGCTAGCTATCTCTTCAAAATCCTTTGTATTCTACTTTCTAGCTTTTGCTGTTTGCTTGGCAACCAAAGGGGTCTCCAAAGGCGGAATAAAGAGTCGTTAAGGATAAAAAATGGAGTTGCTAATGTTCAGATGAAAAGATGTTTTTATATATTTATTATACCCTGGGGTGACTTCTAGAATGGCCATGTTAATTCGTTATGATTATTCATGACTTAAGGATAAAATAACAATATAAACTAGTATACAGCTAATTGAAAAAACGTAGTCGGGTTCAAGAAGATCATATCATCGAAGCTAAGACCGAAAAGGATTTTGGGTTCTCCGAAATGCGTATTATATTTGCATATAGACATGTAAAAATGCACAGTAGAGCAAAGTCGGTCGACCTAGATTAACAACATGCCAAAGCCATGATGCATAAAATGTGCACAGGAAGGGAAAACTGCAATACGCATGAAATTAGCATAATTGTTTGTCTTCCCATGCTCCCCTTCGGTCTTAGCTTTGATGATATAACCTTTTTTTGAATCCGACAACGTTTTTTCAATTAGGTGTATTTAGAGAGGTTGACACCGATGCAACTGATAAATTTGTGGCCCTCTATGTTGAACGACTCCTAGAGAGACGGGACCGCCATTTTACGTGGTCAATTTGGGGTAATTTGCACTCGTGTGTTTTTCAAAGAGTTACGAACTACGGTCTACGCTCTCGTGTAATTTCAACTCTCTGAAGAACACACTCGTGCAAATTAATCCCAAATTACTTGAACACGAAATTGTGTTATTACCTATATATACTAATAAAATGGTGTGACTCTTTACGGGGAATTGTTTAATGAAATCACTTGATCAGTCCAACTTGCCGCTCGTTTGTGTTTCATTGTTACAGTTCAGCAAACTCTATGCAATTTACTGAACTTACTAATTTGTGCAATTTCTTACAAAGTTTTTCACTTTTTTTTTTCACTTATGGTATGGACTCTAAATAGGAAGTTACTCCAGTTTTCTATATTCTGCGAACTCGGTAATTACAAGCTGCACGCTCAAATTTGTTTTTTCGCTGCTGTCAATCAAAAATAATCAGTCGGTATCTTTCATGTTACAGTCAAAACGGCTCAAGCTTACCCCCCTCCCCCCCCAGGTTCCATCAATGGTTTCATTATTCGAATATCAAAATTTATTTTAATTTGACTGTATTGGCCGGCGGCAGTGAAAAACCAATTTCACAATAAGCCGTTGTCTGAATTCGCGGGCTATGGAAAACCGTAATTAAGTTTAACCATTTGAAGATATTTTTTAATCAAAGGTAGCACCATTTACTAAAAAATATTATAAGACCCTTGGTGTTGTTTGACCATTATCGAAATTGTGGTAAAAACCTTAGGATAATCCTACATTTCTAGTTCAGAAGTACGATAATACTTCCTGCGATATTCCTGTTTTTTGTTTTTGTTTTATTTTCACTAGGTTTAACTATGTCAATACTTATATATTTTTCTTTTTTGTCTGCTTTTTTTACCCCTATTTTTATCGTATTTTAAGATTCAGCTCATCTTTTGCCTAAGACCCAATTTTTTTCACTTTTTCGGTGGACCCATAACAGATCTCTGTGGTACTCAAGATAGAACAGTCATCTAAAAACTAACCACTATTATTTTTATTATATATACACACACACACTTGATTGCAGAAATGTTGTAGTATACATTTATACACATATCTAATGAGATGCAAAATATCAAATGAAATGCAAAACTTAAAAAGTAACTTATTTGGTCTTATTTATGTTCTATTGTATCACAGACATAAGCATTGCACTAAGTCAAGTTCTAAAAGTGTTTTACACAAAAAATTGTGGTTAAACAAACATATTCAAGCATGTTTTACATTCTGCATCTGCATTCTGCATCTGCATGACTACTATTCATTATGATATTTTTGCCTTGAGTAGTCGATTTTTTGTTGGTTTTTTTTTGTTATTGTTGTTGTTGTTGTTGTTGTTGTTGTTGTTGTTGTTGTTGTCGCAAATTTTAGGTGTTTTATTTGAGAGTCAGGCGCTTATCTAGTATCTTTACTGCTTTGACCTGGTATATTTGCCTACTTCCTTGGTATCATTAGTACCGCGCGCTATCTGAAAGAGTCGTCTGGTTTTCTGCTTGCCATTTTAAAGCACTTTGAAAAGGGCAGAACACTCGAAAAATGTAGAGAAACGCTCTGCGCAATAAAACGCAAATTAGAATATTTGATTTTGTTTTGAAGACGAATGAAGAAATTGAAAGCACACTCCTATTGCTTTTGTCCTAGTGCGCAAAGTCCTTTTTGATTAAATAAAGCACGGGCAGCTCAACTAGAAACACACGCGCTAGACTTCGACGCTCGATTTCGCTCTTGACTATGAGAGTCTCAGAGAGGTCGTTTTGGAGCAATTCTGCTTAGGTCCTTATTTCCTACGAAGATTTCTCTAAACTTAGAATGTATCTACAAAATAGATATTAGAGAGAGATAAACACAACCTGCCCTCGAACCTTGTTCTTAATGGCGAAACGGGTCACCATGGTTGCGCTTGAACTTTTCATAATTGTCGATATTTGGTAATTTAATGAGGGTATTTCAAAATGAGATATAATGAGTTTTGCGCAATATAATTAATAAAAAGAAATAAGAAAATAATTGCTTATGTTTATTGCTTTCGGCCCTTTTTCGAATCTTGACGATTCCAAATTCACGGAAGAAATATCATGAAAAAGAATTGATAACCAAACTCAAAGGAACAAAATTGTTGGCGAGTATTTGATTTTTTTCAGTTTACTTTTTTAATTTCTTAACCAAAAAAAAAGAAAAAAAAATTTAAAAATCCGCTTTCCCAAAAACGACCACACACCTAGTTAGTCTTATTTACATATGATTATTAGCGATTAGAGCAACTGTTTAAACTAAGGAATTCATATAAAACGACGCTCATATTTAGTTCACATTCAAATAAATAACTTAGATATTTAGTTACTTCTAGAGGGGAAAAATAAAGAAAAATTGCAGTCTTTACTCTCGATAATTGATCACTCAAATTATATTTGATTTTGTCTGACTGCCATAATTGATCTAGCCCAAAGCTTAATTTTGCCTAAAAATTTCGCACAGCGGTAGCATAGACTTAGCTTAGTTTGTTGCCCGATTTCTATTGAAAAGCTTGTTCAGTATTCAAACTCACGAATTTTTTGTATATCAAAATATGTTATTTTAAGCCAAAATTTTATTCGACTTAACATCATTAGCTTTGATCACTTTCTTCTTCGTGACAATGTATTTTAAAAAATACTTAATTTTCAAAATTTAATCTTACCTTTATTTGTTGGTAGTGGCTTCGTTTAACATACACTGGAAGTTCGTTCGCGAAAAAACATTACCCTGTCAAGCGAAAAGGAGAATAGAATAGAACCGTTAACAATAACGTCTTGAGCTCTCGTTCCGGTTTGACGTGCATAAATCACAAATCAGTCTTTACTTGGTATTTTAGTTATGATAGTTTGTATGACATTATTAATCATCTATTATATAAGAGGATTCAAGTCAGGAAAATGGTTTATGTATCATTAAGAGACCTAAGAATCAATGGTCGTTTGTCAAAGTTAATCTGCTTAGGAAACCTTTAGGTGAACACGAGCATTTGTTATTAGAAACCCAGTTAAATATATTTAATAAGAGATTAAAGGACACGTCACAGTCAACATTATGGTTCAGTATTTAAGCTATATAATATGCACCAAATGTTTGTCTTGTCGTGAATGATAAACACTAGCAAAATCTAAAAATTAGTGGGTCACCAAAAATAATAAATGATAATAATAATAATAATAATAATAATAATAATAATAAATGATAATAATAATAATACTTTTATTTGAATACTCCCTAAGGGCTTTTCAGACCTAATTTACAATTAGAAATTTAAACTACAGTTAAAATAAATGATATGAATAGCTTCATAGAAAAGAGACGCAATAAAAGAAGAGAAAAAAAACTTGAGAAAAAAACAAACAAACAAACTGTAATGCATTGTGGAACAAGTTTTAGGCCATAAAATATATAGCCCCCATCTTGGAAACAGCCCCTAAAACATCCCCACAATGCATTGCAATGCCAACTTGACAAAGTCTTTTCCTTAATCTCGGAATGGCTAATAGACCAAATATTTCTCGTTTCTGAAATAATAATAGGAAAAATTTTTTTATTGGGAATGGAGATTCACGAAAAAAATTTGGACTCTAAATCTTGATAGGTCTCTAAAAATAGACAGAATAAATATCATAGTAAATTATGAAGATCAAGGGATAATATTTTAAGACACTGTACAACTGGTTTTGAATGCAATCTATAAAGGCTTTGCACCATCACGTGATGGCAGCCAGGACAGGAGGCACAACAATAGAGTCTTTTCCCCCTGGGAGACTGAATTCTTTCTCATGTAAATCAGATTAGAACAGATTGCATTGTTCCTGCCTCCTCTCCTGGCTGTAATCACGTAATGGTGCAAAGCTTCTATTGAGCTTTTGACATAACTAAAGTCATAATGATAAACTAAGCCGATCGACTTAAGTTCAGTCGAAAGCTCAATAAATTTAATTTAAAAGCTGAATCGTACTGTCTCAAAATGTTATCCATTCTAACTACATAATATATATTTTACAAGTACAGATGAATTTTGAATCATAGTAATTTTTAAGATGATTTACTTTTACTCAAAAAACTATTTAAAAAGAAAGTGAATTAAGCAATAAAGCTAAAGTTCTATAACGCTAGGCCTGTGAAATAGGGCACGCGTGATGTTGGGAGAAACACGAGAAAAATTTAAAAATCACGAGCCGGAGGCGAATGAAGGCTGAAAAACGAATAGAAACGTCAATTGCATAGAGAAAAACACATAAGGTTTTGAAAAATACGATAAAGAAAGGAAAAGCAGTTTTATGAATCCGTCTGCGAGTCTAAATCGAATCTAGTCAGATGGCTTAACGAAATATTCTTGCATAACATCTTTTGTTTACTTTTTCTTGAAGGTTGAAATTTATGATAACTCAGTGTTGGTCGTGTTTGTTTAAAGGTGGAACTAAGGTAAAAGCTATTAAGGAGAGTTATTACGTAACTTAGCGACTATATTTAATTCAAAGGAAAAGGGCGGGGGAAGGGGTAGGATGCTTGCTTTATGGCGTCATTAACTACAACTAAATACCAGACTCCCTTGCACGTTTCTTCTTCTTCAGCGAATTAGCACCAAAGACGACTTGCACTAACAGGTCACGTGACCCTACCTCCATTAAAAGGAGCAGTTTTGTCAAAATAAAAAACAGAAATGAAAAGAGCATCTCGGCATTAGTAGGGAGGCGGAGTTTCAGCTCATGATAAGCGAAAAAGAAGAAATGGCATTAAATATAAAATTGAATTTTTTATAAGGATTCTATAAGAAAAATAGATACTTCTTATCATTATATTGATATTATCACTTGATGAATTTAGCCAACTGTTATACTGATTTATTGATGATTTAAAACACGGCACTCATGGATTACAGGTTTTAATTAATTAATAATATTTTTAATTAATTAATTAAATTACTTATTTATTTTATTATATATAAGATTTTTTATTCCATCTTGTATATGTAGTTTATCCCAGTTTTTTTAATTTAATCCTGATGAATTTTACCGCGTATGAATATAGTTATGAGGGGCGTAACCAGGGATATTGAGGGGAGGTGCACAGACAATGATTTGTAGAACCAAAAAAAGGGAATAATGGGAGAGTGATTCATAATGATGCCACAATATGCAGATGGAAAGTGGTCTTAATTTACTCAAAAAACAATTACATGCAATTTTAAAGCAAAAGGAGATAGATGAGCGGACCTTAAGCTTTTATGTGGGGTGGGGGGTGCAAGTGCACCCTGTGCTCCTCCCTGGTTACGGCCCAAGTGCCAAGTGAAAAAGGCGCCATCTTGGAAATATGTTACCAAAAATGCATTGTAATGTCAACTCGACCCAGTCCTTTTCCTCAAAATGGGAATGGCTAAATAACAGTCCAACGATCTACTAACTGGCCACCTAATGAGACGTCACCACCGACTGATCGACCACCTACTTAGGAAAGCCGACCTACTGATCGACCACAAACTGGTCGGATTGCTGACCTATGACCGACCATTTGTTTGGCAACTACATAGTCAGCAGGAATCCATTGAAAAAATTTGTTTATACATTGAATCTATAATACCTGAAAAACATGCCGACCGCTGAGCGATTGACAACAACTTGAAATGAAACCGGAAGATTGATAGCGAGATATAAGGATAAAAAGTTCAATATAAATCAATAAAGAAGAAAAAAGGCAAGGAAGAAGGGAAAAAGCAAGTAAGCGAAGAAAGTCTGAAGAGAGAAGGAAACTAAGGCCAATCTTTAAAGTGTATATCAAGGAAATTTTTTTCTTTCAAAATCAATTATATGTGAATAGTATGGTTGCAGTATTTTTGTATGTAAAATTTTCTTTTAGGAGATATAAACATTTGAAATATCAAAATGCAAATGAGATGACGTAAATTCAAGACTAATTTATTATACAAAAATGCTGTTATGGAAGGTACTGCTGTTTTTTCATTTGCGAATCACCCTTATAACTGAAATATATGGCTTTGTACAATTTTACGTTATTTCACTTCAGAACAATTGTCGTAAATTACACTGCAAAATTTAACCTATTCTTGAATTTACGTCATCTCATTTGCATATTGATATTTCAAATGTTTATATCTCTCAAAATAGAAGTCCACATACAAAAATACTGCAACCATGCTACTACACTGTTCCCATATAAGTGATTTTGAAAATATTTTTTCCCCTAGATATGCACTTTAAGTTTGGAAATCAATCCGCTGACCGTTGACTGATTTAGCGCGAATTAGGTAGAAAATCCAGTTTACCAAGTCTATCTGGCGCCATATACATATAAAAAATTCAACAAAAATTCAACAAAGGAGAAAACTAGAAAGAAAGAAGAGTAAATAAGTTAATTGATTAATTAATTCACATTAACAAAAAATACTTCCCACTCGACTAAAATGGCGATAATTTCTTTGCTAGCGGTTAATTACTACATTAAATTTTCACACTTCATGGAATTATTCATTCAAATTTGGTGTAATATTGCTCACCCAAAAAGCTTTAGTTCCAATAAAATTCTAAAAATATAAACCAAAAATCCAATAAAAAAAACAAAAAGAGAAAAACTTTCGCGATGAAAATTTGGCATTTATTTATGCACTTTGGCAAACATTGTATTATAAGTTCTTATTTCTAACGTTCAACCCGTCATTTACGATATTTAACCTAGTATCTTTAAAGCAAACTTTTTTCAATATCAATCCACTTGAACTAATTTCCGGCATGGCGTACGTATGAATAAATTAAAAATCGGTCCCAAACGTAGAGCCAGATGTTAAGATTTAATTATCGAAAAAAAAGTTCTTGTATTGCGAGCGTTCCATATTAAAAAGAAAAACCTCAAAATGGGAAGATTTAAAGAAAATGTCTTAAGAGACTATAAAGACTATAAATAGCTAGTATCATTTTTTTATGAAATATAATATTCCAGCTCTTGTAATATGAATCTTACTTTGTTTTCTTAGCAGTGAAAATTATACGATCAGTATGGAAACAATTTCTTGTTGTAGAAATTATTAGCGATGAGTAAAGAGTATTTTGTGGTCGTTGTCAGGGTTTGGGCCATTTATAGCGGCTCTGATTATACAAAATGAGTCAATCCTCGCCCAGTAAAAGTGTAAGTATTCAAAATCAACAACATTGAGACCGCCTCCAGTAATCTAGTAGAATAATACGGGGATAATCTAGTATTGTCGAAAAGCTTTTGGATATGAAATAAGGAAGAAAGGCGCTTACTGAAATTCTGTTTGTAAGTCAACTATGATGCTATCTTCTTAAAATAATGCATTTTTTATACCAAAAACTATAAAAACGATTAAAATAAATAACACAGAACAGGCTTATGATATTATTCAATGACTGATATACCTTTAAATATTTCGTCTTTTGTAACCATAGTCTTTTTGATACTTCTGGCAGCAAATTATACTCTAAAAGATACGTGTTTTGGGCGTGTTTTGGGCCACGATAACAGTGTTGAATGGGGTGGCGAGCTTCCACAAGTGTTATCTCATTATTGAGGTCAGTTTGTTATGTGTTGCAATAGTGAACGATTGAAATATTAATTACCAATACGAAAGAGTCCTGGCAACCGTTGTATTCGGTCATAAATATGCAGAGCTGCAAGGAGACCTGATTTGTGTTTGAACAAGCTGACGCGGTTGAACAAAGAAAAGAATTAATGAAAACACACACGCATTCATACACACATATATATTTTGCTAAAATACCAAAAAAAATCCCGCATTCTTCTTCTTTCTTTCTCTCTTTCTCTCTTTCTTTCTTTCTTTCTTTTTTTTTTTTAATGTTGGAAAAAAATTTAGAGCTATAAGAAAAGCGGTAACTGTTGGGGCAGATGATGATTCAGAAGATCAATTCAGCTTTTGCTGTGTTTCTCAACTACTCATTTTTAAATGCTTGAAGGTTTGTGAAGGGGAAAAAGGACTGTTGTTAATACAAAATGTAAAGTGTTAAAGCTTCTATGCCTATCGGCTATTTATACACTGATATATGCAATATATAAAACACATAACATGATCGAATGCAGCAGACACTTTTTACTTTTGGCCTAGCAATTTTTTTCCTTTAATTTTTAATGTTGATACATTGTATTGAAATATGACAATTCATCTTCGCTTTGACCAATGATTACAGTACAAAGCATAAGTTTAGGTGATATTCTTTGTTTTTAACGGTTTTCGAGATATACGAACGCCACATATGTGAGAATACTCTTTCCTACTGTGAAGAAAAGTGAAGGAAATTAGTTTTGGAGTAGTCAAAATAAAAGAATCGCATCGCGGATCTCGCTCACCAACAAATACTTCGTATTTTGACTGAATTTGAAATATTAAAAACCTATATAATAAACAAGAGACTCTGGTTTTTACCCCAGTGCAATGGAACGAATTAATTTAATGAGCAAGGTCATTGGCATTAACATATTGGATTTAAACACTACAATACACTGTCAAAGCGGCGAGGAAGTTATTTTTCCGTGAAGCGTTTCTCTGAAAGACTTGAAGTCACAATATATTGACAGTAGCTAGGTTCTTGTAATTGTCGCTAAGAGATCGTCAAGCAGGTGCATAGCTTTATATAATGCGTCACGTTTGATGGTGTTCAAGGGCAAGACAAAAACACGACAATTCGCTTCGAGCAGGCATTTCATTGCATACATATTTTGAAATAGACCGTATTCACTGTTTTCCCATTTCAGACCACAGTCATTCCCTAAAGTATTATTCCTTTGTTTAACGGCTGCACATGAGAAGACACATGAATATGGATACAACTCAAACGAAGAATCTTAGTCTCAAGAGAATGACACGTGGTCTGAAATGGGTAAACATTGCACCCAAGTAGATTTGGTCCATATTAAAACAGTCCCACAATGTCTTCACAATTTCCCTAGTAATAATGATGATAATGATAATAATGACATTAATGATAATTATGATAATAATTATATTAATTATATTACGGATATTAATGATATTAATGATACTAATGATAAGAAGGTGAGAATGATTAGAATAATAAGATCTATAAGGCCCTGGCTAAACTAGGAAACATATTTCCAGAAACACGTTTCTTAAATGTTTCCAAAGGTGGCAAAACTGTCAGGGAACATCGGGAAACATGTTTACTCAATATCGGTTAGCGCATGCGCACTTTAAAGATAGAGCTAGCGTTGCTAAGTAACGAACTTTTAGAATGTTGACTTTCGTGGCTAAACGAGGAAACATTGGGAAACATTGTTTCCATGCGTCTTGGAAGCATGAAAAGTTTCTGCAGCACAGTAGAAACATTTTTGCGTCTTGGAAGCAAAATTTGTTGCACGTAGCAATGTTTTGCATGTGGCTAAACTTGGAATCATCGGGGAACATGCGCGCGGTGTTTCTGGAAACTTTTTTCCTCGTTTAGCCAGGGCCTAAGACTGATGAAAATGATGATTATAATAATAATAAGAATGATGATGATGATGATGATGATTAAGTATCGAATGGGAACAGAAAACAAAAACAGAAATATGCGAATACGAATAGACAGAGAAAAGGAAATACAGGAACAGGAACAGAACTGAAAGACATAGAGAATGAAGCATAATGAATAAAATAATAAAAATAAAAATAAAATTAAAATAATTATTGTTGGAGTGAAACGAAAAGCACTCTAGAATAATGTATAAATATTGTGCAAACAATTCGAAGCCAAAAATATGTTTCTCAAATATGTTTGTTAATTGTGTACGCTCAGTTCATCTCTCTCTTTATAACTCTCCTTTTGTATTATCTGTTTGTAACAAAAAAAGCTTAAATCTTCCTTCGTTGTCATCGATTCTCAGTCTTTATACTCAGCCACCAAACAATAGTAATTATCCTTTTATTTGGTTATGGTGTTATCCAAGAAAAACTAAAGTATTACCTTAATCAAAAAAGGCCCGCAATTTTGACATTTTTGAACAAATAAATATAGTTTGCATTGAGAATATTAGTCCTGTCAGGAGTCTACTGGGCTGCCTGTGCTAGACCAGGCGGCGATATTTTTTTGTTGTCTCTCCGTTTTTCTCTTATTATTTCGACTTTTTTTTATTGTTATATTACTTATAAACAAGATGACTCCCACTAGATCTAATATCTAAAATGTGCAGGTGGTATTGAAATTCTTCATGGCGTTGAATTATACACAACTTGTTTTACTTGCTTTTTTTAAAAAGGACAATATTTGATGATCAACTCTAGGCTTCTATGCTAGCTTTTAGCTAACTATGACATGTTCCAATGGATAGTAGATTATTTTCCCTATTATATTCTAGCTTTTTACTGTGAAAAAAAAGACTCTTATTTTTAAGACTTAATGGTTGATAACCATGTAAACTTGCTTTAGGGAGACAATGTTCGACCATTTTCCAAAATGACTGCCATGAGTTAAAATTAAGCTAACTGAAAAACTGTGCTAGACCAGGCGGCGATTTTTTGTTGTTGTTGTCTCTCCGTTTTTCTCTTATTATTTCGAAGACCCATTTGTCAGGTGATATTTTGGCCGAGAAAACTTTAGTTCAAAATTAATAAAAAAACATATGTCGTATACCTCCAGTCATACAAACTTCTGTAAATTTGTAAAAAAATTTGTAAATCTTAAACGTAAATATTCAATTCTCGGCCGATATAGCACCTGCATAACAATTCTTCGTAGGGTTTACTAAAGTAAAGGTGATATTTGTAGAGCTTGTTTATAATTTCAATTTTAAATCATTTGAATTTGCAACCGCCATTTTGGAGAAGGCTCTACATTTGTGAAGGTGGAAAGTACAGAAATTTTTGTGTATAAAGTATTTTGCATAGATAAAGTTCGGATATCAGGTATCACGACTAGAGGAATGTCTTTTCTTGAGAAAGTAATTTAGCTTGAATGTAATCAATCGTTAAATATAAAATATAATGAGTCAACTACTATGACCATAAACTGCAAAATAGAATCCACAACAAAGCCATCGCATTTGTAATTTAAACAATCGTGTATTAGGATATTTTATTAAATCTCAATCAATTGATCACCCTATGTGAGCTGAGTTGCTTTGTTCTCTTTCTGGCTCCCACGGTTTTCCCAGTTTTCCGGTTTTCTTTCCTTCTCTCAAATCAACCCTCACTTATTCAAACATCTAGAGTTTCTGAGGTGGGAAAACATCCAAAGCAGCGCTCTAAGAAGGGACATATTTCTATATGTCTACGACTGTATACTTTTTCTTTCAACAGAGCTATACATCACTCCACCGCGAGCCCGTTCAGAGGAAAGTCTGGATGTTGCTGAGGATAAGTCGAACAATTCAGACAAAGAATCGCTAGCGGTAACATGACTATCTTGACCATCTTTCAGGTTTTCTTTCCTCCTCTCAAATCAACCCTCACTAACTCAAACTGGTTAGAGCTTCGCTGAAGGGTCTGTGTAGCAGCTGCCAGAGGCCTTCAATCGCTTTCAGTTCGACCCCCTTGAACTGCGCCAATGCTGTATTTGTACGGTGAATAGCGATAACAAACGTTTTTTTCCTATTTTAGTTGACCACAACCAGTCAATAAAAATGACATTGAAAATGTGTCAAAACAACCGCTATAAACCTTCAACCAGCAACCACAACGTAACAGTAGCTCTTGAATTAAAACAATAGGAAAACGACTATCAAAATGCCCCACTTAGAAAACATTTTTTACCATAATTTATATGTATATATGTAACCTGCCATTATTATTATATGAGAATATATATAAACTATATATCTGTACTGCGGTTATATTATATATTATATCTTTTTATTATATAAAAAATGTCTTATAAAATGCGTGTGTCAAAAAGACCATAAACTGCAAAACAGAATCGATCCACAACAAAGCAGCTCCTGTCATAATTAAAACAACTAAAGACAGTTTTGACCACTCTGTCAACAATAACAATGTCATATAATGTGTCAAAACGACTGTAAAACAGAATCCAAAACAACCAATTCCTCTTGCAGTTAAAACAATCAGGGCACTACTACAGAAATGTCCAAATTAAGAAAGAACTTGTTTCATTACCGCTAATATAATAGCCTATAAAAATGTCATAAAATGTGTCAAAACGACCATAAATTTCAAAAACAGAACCCATGAAAACTTAAACTCGTCAAACTTGTACTCATAGATTTTTGGTTCAGTACCAGTTCAGTAAGTGCTGCTATTGTTTTTAGGTTTTAAAAATCTGCAGAACCATCAGTTATTTAAAAAAGAGTTTTTTACAAAACGGCGTATTTTTACATATACTAATTTACGAGAAAGTCCTTTGAATACGACATTCATTGGCTCTGTCTGTCGTAGCATTTTTTTTAGCGCTGTTATATAAAATATTAGGATGCCGTGTAAAAATGTATGTAAAGACAATTTGATAAGATAAACAAACGGATAAAGATTCACCACTAGATTGATAAGAAAATATACATACATATTTATACATGAGGTGTTAACAGGAGAATTTTTCATTTTCCCTTACCTTCAATTTTCGTAAAGTCGTGAGGAACGATTTCTATGCTAATTATTCAGCTCAAA